TGTTGTATTTGGAAGAGAGGTTGATGAATTTTATCTTCTGAGATAAAGTAGTGTAGTTAGAATCTTTTTGGTTTAATACTAAGATCCTCAAAAAATTTGTTTGCATGGATTGTTTTGTAGTCATCATGAAGGAAAAAATAAATTTAAGCAAAATTGATAGTGAATAAGTTATGGTTTTGGATAATGTAATTTTTAGAAGGTTGAAGATTTTTGAACGCAAAGTAATTTGGTTTATTTAATAAAACTTTATTGATAACAATCGATAACTAACTTTTGGGAAGGCCAAGGTGGTCTATATTTATACATTTCAATTTCGTAGGGAATAGTTTTACTATTCTCTTTATTCTTAAAGTCTCACAGCGTATACGCTTTACTATCATCGTGTATACGCTTTACTATCTAAAGTGTATACATTCTATTTGATATCGCGTATACGCTCCGACTTCCCTCAGCAAACTCCGATAGCGTATACGTTTTGACCGTCATTTTAGCCTACAGCGTTTACGCTTCAATTTACTAAGCTAATTCCCTAATCTAGCAATAAGTCACATCCTTTTTCCTTTCAAGCCCCACTTAAACTAAACGGATAAAATAAAAATAAAAATGAACCATGGTTTTGGGCCGGGGACCCATTCAAATCCCAACAGCGCAAATGCTGATTCAGAAACTTGAGAGAAGAAGTTCAATATAAACAAAGCAGAATTTAGAAAAGCATATTGCAAAAAGTACTCGGAAATAACAAAATGTAATGCAGAATTTGATTTTGTCAAACGAAATGGAATTTAATATTTATCACTACAGAAAAGCATTGTTCCTGCACAAAATGTCTGAATTAATACGTGTTTATTATATTTTGTTTTTTAATATTGATTAATAAAGCAATTTAAATATGAATTATTAATTAGCATAGTATTAATTTATTTAAAGGTTTTTAAAAATAAAAAGAACTCTAGCTCTGGTGGCTAACGATTAACTTGATTTCTAAAGCATAAAGAGATTTTAATATTTTATCTCAATATAATTTATTCTAGCAAAGAGAATTTTAATTAGACGAATGAGATAATTGCTATGGTAAAACTCAGCTCAAAATTTACTACTAGGAAGGTGCCACTTCACTCAAAATCGATATTATTTTTCTTACTAAACAAATATCTGTCTTTTGAACTTTTTAAATAAAGTTGCAGAGAATAATTTAATTGGACTTTCTGAGTAAATATAAATCAATTAGCATTACTCATGTCAGCACATTTTTGATAATAAATGAATGCCTTATATTCATCCTTTTTAACTCCGATGCCATTTAGATAACAATAACCAACATTTTTTATTCCAATAGCATAACCCATATCAGCAGATTTTTGATAATAGAAGAATGCCTTATTTTTATCCTTTTCAACTCCAATTCCATTTTCATAACAATAACCAACATTATTAGTCCCAAGAGCATGACCTATATCAGCAGATTTTTGATAATAAATAAATGCCTTATATTCATCCATTTCAACTCCAGTTCCATTTTCATAACAACAACCAACATTAAACGTTCCAAGAGCATCACCCATATCAGAAGATTTTTGAAAATAAATGAATGCCTTATGTTCATCCTTTTCAACTCCAATACCTTTATCATAACAATAACCAACTCCGCATAATCCTTTAGCATAACCCATATCAGCAGATTTCTTATAATAGGCGAACGCCTTAAATTCATCCTTTTTAACCCATTTACCCAAACGATAACAATTTGAAAGAATAATTTGAACCATAGGATTTATTTCATCATTCAAGCACCAATTGATGATATTATCTGGATTCTGCTTCTTATTTGCTAGAAATGTATCTAATGTATCAAGAACTAACTCAGAATCACTGCCTTTGGATTTTTCTTCAGTATACAGATTACATAATTCTTTAACAATTTCACCAAGAAAATCCTGAGAGTTATTTTTATTTGAGGAACTGTCATTTTTTTTTATCTGCTCTGAAATTCGATTGTTATAAAATCTTTCCATGCCTTCTTTATCCGACATTTTAACGCAGGAAAATGTATTAAAAAAAATACAGCACCATCCTTTTATTATTTTTATTTGTTACACACTATGCACAATTACCGCATTAATTATAATAGATTCTTTTTATTGCCCGAAGCGTAGTGTTACTATTTAAAGGGAGAGCGATGCGTAAATCTGGCCTTATTTAGCTTTATTTATTTGGTCGATAAGATTTCTTGTCCACGTGGGATTGTTGAGTCTTTATTTATTAATTTATTAAAGCTTTATTTATTTGGTCGATAAGATTTCTTGACCACGTGGGATTATTGGGTCTTGATTTATTAATTTATTAAAACTTAATATTAATATATTAAAATTATGAGTTCAGTGGTCAATTTAATCGGGATCGGAGTAAGTTAATATAATTCTATACTGTATATAATAATAAAGTAATTTGGGCTAACAAAAAATCAAAAACTAAGGTAACAAAAAAATGACAATTCAAAACTCAAGACTAGGCTAGTTATTGAGAATTCGATTCCTAATATCCTACGTTATACCTAAAACATCGAAGTCTGGGATCGTTATTAAGGTCAATAGTCGCTACTTATAAACATTTTTTGATTCTAGCTAATTACATATAAATTTTTTCTCTTATAGTTATCTAGCTTGAAACTACTCTTTCGCTACTCGTATTTCAGTACAGCTTTTTCGTTACAATTGCTTTTTACGCCTCTTCCGCCAACTACCCTAATAAAGGAACGATAAACAAATATAACAATAACGATAATACTAAAAATGGAGAAATTAAAAGAAAATCTATAAAGAAATAACAACTAAAGTTAATAATGTCGATATATGGTACCGACCTTCACACCCAACCGTAAAGTAGTGAGGACTCTTTTGTTTGATCTAACTTGAATGCAATATTAGTTAAAAACAGCATGCATTAAATGCTTCTGATTAGCATTAGTTAAACAATTTATTTTAAATACTTTTAACCTGAATAATATTTTAGACCGATTATAGCTTCAAAGAGATTTTAATACTTTCATCTCGATATAATTTTATGCAAATAGTACTTTTTTGGAATGCGTCATAATTGTAGTGATACGGGCTGACCTCGGCCTATTAGCCGGGCTGTTGAGCGATGAAAAAGTCTGGTGTGAAAGTATGGATTGGTTCTGGATAGAACTCGTCCGGAAGGTCTGGTTACACGAAGGTTCGGGTCAACTAATCTATTGAGAACGGGCGGTTTGGTCACCGGAACCAAACCGATCTTATTTCTTGTCAGCATTGGACGATCATATCGAAAGAGACGGTTAGATTTGGCAGGCAGATGTTCTAAAGCTTAGGTCGCCTTTCCTACTACTAAGGGACGGCTCAATTATCTCTTATATCAAATAAATGCAATATATGCGATGTATCGCTTAAATGTGATTTATGTGATTTATGCGATATATGCAAAATATGGTATATGTCATTTATGCATTATATGCAATTTATGCAAGTTACCCGTGATCACATTATGGATCTGTTCCGAGCCCAATTTCTAGCCTCACATTCCTCCCCTACTTAATTTATGTGTACCACGCATAAATCATACTAGGTGACCTATTGGCGGTTATAAGTCTTGGGTCAGGTAGATAAGTAACTTCTTAATTTTTTTGCCTTGGATGACTTGGTCAACTTGGATACCACTGTATCTCAGGTATCCTAAACTTGAAATTACAATTATTACAGTATGTCAGATAACTGGAACTTAATCAATAACCACAACTAATTACTGTATGTTGGGCTAGTTGAAAACAGAGATTACAGTTAATCTTAGTATATCAAGATTAGCTAAACATGTAATTAAATAAATATCACATGAACAAAGATGATATTGTTATGCTATTTTAATAGTAAATCAGAATTAGAAGTTACTTTCTTCTCAGTTTTTAGTTCAGATATATTTACTGCATTTAGTACATATTAGATTTACAACTTCTGATCTTCCTAATCATATAACTACTTTCATTGTCTTTAATTATTTTTTCTCTTTTTTTATAGTACTTAATTAACCCACTAGTACTAGAATATATCATATAACTTACAGGTTTTTTAAGTTGGTATTCTTAATTCTGAATCTAGTCATTATTAATATGATAGTATTAGAAAGATTATCAAATTTACTGTTTTATCTTATAGTTACTGCTAAATTAGAATAAGCAGTTTGATTACTAGAACCAAACTGATCTTGTTTCTTGTTAGTATTAGATAACTATATCAAAAAAGATAATTAAATTTGGCAAGCAAATGTTTTAAAGCTTAGATCACCTTTTCTACTATTAAGAGACAGCTCAATTATCACTTTGAGAAGTATAGTAATCATGAATTAATCTATAGACTTTATAAAAAATAATTTTACTATGCTACTTAGTAGAATATCAAAGAGAGTAATTAATTAAAATATGAATTAAATAGTAGAAATTATTTAATAAAGAAATCTATTATTTACAAAGGTAAATATAGAAGTTATTCTCTTCTATAGATCAACATAGCCTTTATTATAATATAAAGTTATAGATAGTTTATTATATTTATGCTAGTTCTATTTTAAATCTTATATATTGTATTTATTTAATATATTATATAAATGCAATATATATTATAACTAGTATTGACATATAAAATATTAAGAAAAAACACAAAATTCTTAATAACTTTTAATCTACTAGTCCAATTTGGATGAAACATATACCATTGGAATTAGCTTACTGAGACGAATCTAATGAGCTAAGAATCATCAAAATCTAATCACAGGATCCAAAAATACTCAAGTTCTAGCCTTTTTACAATAATTGTATAATCTGATTAGCTAATAATTACTGCAGAAGATATATTATATGTAATACATTTATTACCTATGGTTTTTAAGACATTTTTATTATTTATCATATATATAGCATATATTATATTTATTATATATTTTATACATATATTAGTTATATTATATATTTTATTAGTAATAGTTGTAATATATATAACTCCTATAATATATATAGCCTGTTATATTTTTAATTTTTTGTAAAGTATAAAAATAGCATATGTGGACCTTGATTTCATTATTAAGTCTTCACACTCTTTCACAATAAAAGTAACTTTCTAATACTTTGAAATAAATATTTATTAATATCTTTATATATCTTTAATTGTTGCCTCTTTTATAATTACAAATTACCCTAAATCTTCTTTATTAAGTTTTATAAAAATGTTCCAAAGACTTTGACAAAATACAATAACAAAGATATTATACAAAGTATTTTCTATTATTAGTCTCTCTAGTTAGTTGTTCTCTCTAAAGAAGTAGAAGCAATATAACAAATTGGTACTAACTATTAGATATCTTCTCAAACTCTGCAAGAATAAAAAAAAACCTAAGGACAAGTTTGATTATGAAAAATATCAGTTGTTACTAAAACAAGTCTATTAATTTTTATCTGATTAAGCTGAAATTTTGAAAATATACTCAGAATACAATTCTGCAACTTTTCTACTAAGCTTATTTTAGAGCAAAAACCTCTTTATAACTCTCAAAAAGACCTTTTAGAATTCTTTTTCTAAGAAATAATAGGAAGAATTTTTAAATTAAAAGCTTAGAAGAAGTTTTAATACTCCCAAAATACTAGCAAACATTGTGAAAACAATATTTACAAATTGTCTTATAACTAATACAACAATAAATTAGACTCATAATTAATTTTGTAATCTAAAAGTAACAAGATATGAGTTATATTAATATACTTAAAACAATACTAAGAAAAAGATACAATATAATAATATATGATGAAGAGTACTATATTGCTCAAATATTTTTGGCATTAAATATTGTCATAATTATGAGTTTGATATTATCTTCAATATTTAAAAAGAAAATAGCTATAGAAAACAAGAACACTATTAGTAATAGAAATACTAATAAAGATAACTATTAAGACTCTAATACCTTAATAAATAAACATATTGAAGCTTTAGAACTTACTCTTCAAGAAATACTACAAATTTTGAAATTGACTTCTACAGAAGATAAGAAAATTACTAGTATTTATCAAGAAACTTCTCTATACTTATAGAAGACCTCTGACAAACTAAATAAAAGCCTGAAAAAGAAACAATTGTAGTTAAAGAAAAAATTAAAAAACTAAGAATTAAGAATAATGAAAAAGACTTTAAAGAAACCAATATTCAATTTACAAAAGAGAAAAATCATGTTGGCATTACAATTACAACTGAACCAAACTAGAAGATTTGCTTTAATATATACTTCTCCAAAAAAAGTCTAAATAATTTAAGACCTAATGAATCTAGAAATAATAAAAACAATAAGATTAGTACAAATCAATTAAGAATAAAAGATTTAAAACAAAACTATTTCTATAATAAAAACTCAGATATCTAAGACCTATCTGATAAATCTACTGATAAAAAATCTAAAAAAAGAAATACAAGAAGAACAAGACAAGTTAAAAGAAAAAACAAACTTAAAGTTCTTACTCAAAATAAACCTAATAAAGAAAAGATTTTTAAAAGTTTTAAATATTAAAAGAACTTAACTGAAAGCTTTGATTCAACTAATGCAGAAGAATCTTATAAAGAAAACTTTTATTCTAAAAAAACAGAAAGTCTTGAAATCAAAAAGTGGACTTGAAATTCAGAAACAAAATCTCAAAAATCTTGAAGTTCAATATCAAAATACTAAAAAGTTTGAAGTATTAAACTTAGTAAAAGTAAACTTAGAAGAATAGTCTACTACTACAACTAGAAATAATCTAGAAACTGAAAGAATTAAAAGTGAATTAAGTAACCAAGATGAATCTAGTTTTTTTAAGAAAACTATTCTTAAGACTAACAATCTAACTTATAACCTACTTAAGGCTAGGAAGAAACAAATATGAGTGAAGAACAACCAAAAGCAACTAGAAGAAAATTTAGTTTACATCAATTATTTAATATCTGATATGATAGATAATTTTGATGAAAAACAAAAACTATTA